TATCAATACCAGTATTTTCCAATGCTCATTATCAAAGTTGTTTTAAGCCCAATTTCTGTAGCAGAATTACACAGGTACGGATAAAAGTATTCATAATAAGCAATGAGATAAAGCAATAAGAAGATGATGCTCCCGGTTATGATTGAGTTTACCTACTCATTTACGATTATGGACTCTGCTCGTTATAGTTTGCTTACATCAAGTATTCGTAATTTACTTTGCTCCCCTTTTATAACAATGTTTAAATTATGTCCACAATTCTTGGATTTTCTTTGAATAACTTATTTTGGTTTCTGATAAATAAGAATTTTCAGACTTCACTTTCATCCTTATGAGTGAGTATCTGGTTTTGCGATTAGCATATATATAAAATTATATATTTTTTTAAATATTTGTTCTTTCTTGAGGTAATTACTAGTAAAATAATCATTTGAAATAATTGTCTATTTTCCACGTAGAAAGTAAAATAAAAATTTAACTTTTTTACCTTTTATCAGTAAGAAATAATTACTTCATATTTATCAGAACATCAAACTTTCTTCCAGGAATCCCAAAAAATTGTTTATACCGAAATATTTTCGAGATGTATCATCCGATCAACAGCAACTTAAACTTGTAAAAATGAAGTTTAAATCGTCAATGATAAAATGGTATATTCTGAAAATATTTAGGTTGAAAATGGACTCTTAGAAGAAGACTTATATATTGCTTGAGGCATTTAAATTTATTATATACTATTAAATATATTTCCAGAAATAATTTAATATTAGTTTTGCTCGAAATTTCTGTAATTGTTTAATATTTATATTCTTTAACAAATAGGAAACCTGCAATCTTTAGGCCACATGCAGACTTTTGTGACTTTAAAACACAATGTAACAACAAAACGATATTGTTAATAAATAATATAACTGGTACAAGATTAATTTTGTTGCCGTCAATTTTGATTTATGAAGTTATGTCTTTTCAATAAAAAACATTTACGGTTTACAGGGGTGTAGCGCACACGAGGATATGGCTAATTTGACCCTGACCCACGGGCGGAGCTACGGAGGACATTGCTCCAACATTAGCCATATCCTTGTGAGTGCTACGCTACTCTAAATTTTAAATAGACAATTACAATATTATCTATTTGCAATTTATTGTAAATAGATTACAAATTTACAAATAAATAATTTACAATTATTATAGATGGATAAATATTGAATTTTGAGCCGGATGCATACATTACTTATAAATGTGTTGTGTTTTACAACTAATTGCTTACTCATAAGTAATTAGTATTCTTTTAGAGTGGCTTTTATCAAAAAGATCAGTGAATCAGTGATCATAATTTTCTTCTACCCGAACTTTATGTCGTGTCCGAAAAAATGGACTCTATTTCCGCTCTTGCCCTGCCATAGAGGCCAACCGATCAATGGTATCAATATTATTTAAATTAATAATAATTAATTATAATCTGGAAAAATAGCTTAAAATTGTATATAAACTCCGCTGCAAGAAAATTGGCAAAAAGTAAAGAATGAGAAATAAAAGGAAAATAAATTTTATTGTTCTGAAGTTTTTATAATACATTTAAGAACTACTGATATCTATGAAACAATTAAAATTAGTATTTAATTTTGCTACCTTCTCTTGCAATACAAAATTTAATGCGCCATGACATACTTACAATTAGCCTAATAACTCCAAATATTCAAAGGAAAGTTGTTCCCAAACTCGTTTAATATCAGAAATCCATTTATTCACATTTATTCGATCCACATTCTCCAGTTTTCCTTTAATCAGAAACCACACGTTTGCAATGGGATTGAAGTATAAAGAGAAAGCTGGCCATTCTGACACAATCAAACCCACTTGAAGGAATACTTGCGTTGAACGGACAGTGTGTTGCCCACTTGCACCGTCTTGTTGCACTTGGAACCGTCAGGGTACAGGTAACGGACATTCATGAAGAATTTCCTTACGTGTTTTAGCGTTAATCGATCCGTGCGTGAATTTTAGAGTATTGCCAATTTTCTTGCATTGAACTTTATATAGAATATATCAAGGAGATTGTAACTTATTATGCATATGCGAAAACTTTCTATGTTTTGCCGCTACATCTTACGACAATTAATGTAAATTTTTGGTGCATATATACAAAATGCATAAACAACAATTGAATATCTTACTATACAACAATGTCCTTCTGAGACCCTTGAAATGAAATTTGGCCTTCTAATTACAAAGGGTTCTTCACCTCTGCTCTAATATAACATTATAAGTAAACATAAATTTGAAAAAAAGATTGTGTTAAAAAATTAATATAGTAGACTATATAAATTCCTTTTCATGCATTTAATTAACTATTTCGGTTAACGATGATTGCTCATTGCAGCTTTATTATTATAAAAACAAGTACAAATTGTTAATTATTTGTGATGTAGGCTATTACATTTTTCAAGGTTTTTTTTTATGAAATAAACTGAAAAAATCATCATAAACAGGAATAGTCTATTAAATGCTTAATTATAAAACAGGCAGCAAACAAAATATTTAAAATGTTTTATTTAATAAATATGATCAATATACCAAATTTAGTCTTTATTTAACTTCAAAATTTATAATTGTATGAATGAAAAATTTTGTAAAATAAAAACAAAGTATATTATAAATTAAATATCGCATAATTTTAAAATATATTTATATAAACATAAGTTAAATAAAAAGAAATTTATTTCCATTTTTTTTGACCATCTCAACTTTAGATGAATGGATCAAGAACACCTTAAGCACGTAACAATTCGTAAGACAATTGCAATTGTTCATTATGATGATGTATATTCTTTATAAATGATTTATTTTTACCTATTTAATTTATACAAATTTATTATAATTTATTTTATTTCGTAAATGGATATTTTCCATTATTTAGACAGTGAAAAATAAAGTTTTAAAATTAAAATATAATTAAAAGATTTAAGAAAAATAATTATCTATATCCACTCTTACATTCCATCTAGAGATTATAAGATTATACTCCAGACTGTATGAGTTATTTACATATTAGAAGTTACTAATTCGTTCAATTTATTCCTAATTATTAAAAATATTTTTAAAAAATTTATATAAAAAGTAAAATATCAATACAGTTTTGCTCATTTTCTTTATCTACATCTTACTTAAAGTCAGCAAATGTATACATGAACAACTTATTTATCTTCATTATTTTGTAAATGCTAGAAATAATAAATTTATAAAAATTTTATGATTATATATATATTATTTATTAAATATAAAGAGTAATAATCTCTTAATTTTACTTTTTAAATTTGTATTAATGTAACTTGCAACCTTTATGTACAAACTGTACAGACAAGTCGCATGCTGACTTTTATATATAAAAGATCAATGATTTCCACTACACTCACGTGTTAAAAGGTGAGGAACTTGTAGGGAAGAGAATGATTAACGCCATCTGGAGTTGCCACATAAAATAAAATATTCTTGACTGTTAAGTTCACCTTGTTCCTCGTGGTTACAATCCTATTGATTGAATAAGATTTGAAGTCCTTGGCAATTTAATTCCTAAACTAAACTGTTTAAAACTAATTTATCAACAATCTCATTAAAATACATTATAAAATAATGATTAATTACTTCAATATATGGTGTTAATCCATCTTACATATTAATTATTGAATATATCTGTACGGTATAAAAAAATGTATTTAAACTTATATTTATAATTTGGGAATTTTCTCTATGTTAAAATGTGGTTAAAATATAATAAGCAATTAAATGTCTGTTTTAAATAAACATAAATATTTTAAAGAAATGCTATTGTATCTCTTTATTATTTTGGAAGGAAGAATTGTGTTGGTGAGATTGCATTAAAAATTTACCAAAATTTAACTTTGTGAATTGTAAATCGAGTAAATTATTATATATTCTTTAATAAAAGCTTTCTCAAAATTAAAAAATTCTCTTTTTATCATCATCTAATGAGTCAGAAAACAACTTGTAGAAGCCATCCCTGCAGACTAGTATGAAGACTGACACCATTTTCTCAAATCAACATTAAAAATTGAGATTTTATGTATAAAATTTGTTTATTTAAAATAATGTATTGACCTTCTTCATGATATTCCCATCGTTGCAATGCATATAGTAAAACACATCATCAAATACACTACTTTGTATGTAGGCTCTATGAGAGTTTACCTCAATAGATTCATTGCAGGTAACAATTGTAAAATACATAATGCGGTAAATATTAATACAAAATGTAAGAAAAATATGAAAAAAAGCATTTAAATCGCGGATTGCATTGGTTTTTATGAAGTTCTACAGTGTTTATTCCGTTGGNGTTGGTGAGATTGCATTAAAAATTTACCAAAATTTAACTTTGTGAATTGTAAATCGAGTAAATTATTATATATTCTTTAATAAAAGCTTTCTCAAAATTAAAAAATTCTCTTTTTATCATCATCTAATGAGTCAGAAAACAACTTGTAGAAGCCATCCCTGCAGACTAGTATGAAGACTGACACCATTTTCTCAAATCAACATTAAAAATTGAGATTTTATGTATAAAATTTGTTTATTTAAAATAATGTATTGACCTTCTTCATGATATTCCCATCGTTGCAATGCATATAGTAAAACACATCATCAAATACACTACTTTGTATGTAGGCTCTATGAGAGTTTACCTCAATAGATTCATTGCAGGTAACAATTGTAAAATACATAATGCGGTAAATATTAATACAAAATGTAAGAAAAATATGAAAAAAAGCATTTAAATCGCGGATTGCATTGGTTTTTATGAAGTTCTACAGTGTTTATTCCGTTGGCATTCCGATGTTGGGTTTATGTACGGTGCTCACATTTCGTGTATAATCGAAACTATAATATAAGACCAATCGATTTAAAATAAGAAAGGTTCGTCATCTCACGTGGAAGATATTAATATAGTAATTAAATGTAAAATTTGGGAATAAAACCGACGTTGACGTCATCGATGACGTAGCGAGCCAGTTTAAGGTAGGAAAAGAAGGCTGAGGGTGGTGAACCGGAGTTTGGAGGTGCCCCTTCACCAGTTCAAATAACCCACGAGTTAAGAGAAGAGAAGATTTTAAATAGCCAAGTTATGAATAGGGAGTAAGTTAATTGTGAAATAGAAATAATTAGGAAAACAAATCGATTACAATTGTCTAGAAGCTGTTGGCTGAACACGTTTCTAGCGAAAGAGCTAACCTGCATCGACTTTGTTGGTAAGATGATGTTTAATGGTTTGAATCGTACCTTTTCCGGTTTTTACCGAGTTTAACACATTATACATTCGATGATAAAGATGTTATTCTGTAATGCTGTGTTACGTTCAAAATGGAGAGCCGTGCGGCACTCTCCAAAATGGAGTGGTGCAGCATCGTTGCTCCTTGGGTCGGAGAAGAAAGAAGACGATATTTTACTCATCGTTAAGTCGAAATCTCTGTTGTGTTAGTTATTTATTGTTCGTTTCTATGCTAAAGTCGTTAATTTTATTATTAAAATCGCTTCTTATATATAATGAGAACCCGCAGATCTTGGTGGTGCCAAGGCTGAAGTCTTGTTATTTTCTTACATCGTCGTATTTATTATTTATGAAAATTTTATTTTTCTCAAATAACATGCTACAGTTTGTCATAATGTATATTTTACAGTAAACTTTGAATTTAGAATGCTCTTTATATTATCTTTTTAGGAAAAAAAAATTTGTTAAATATATTTTAATTAAATAAAACATTTTAATTGTCATTTCATAAACTGTAGATATAAATTTGTTAATTTTTATATAAGTTTTGAGAAATTAATTACATTCTTTTCAATTTAATTTTTGTTTATTTACAGGCTTTTTCATTTCATTTGCAATAATTTTATAATTAATGTTTCATAAATGATTGTAGGCACAAAAATTTTATCATCTAAAGAAAAATTAATAATAAATAAAAGTAGATTTTTTATTTATGAACCTTTGTCAAAGATTTACAAATACAAAACATAAAGGTAATGTAAATATTCAATATATAATTTGTGAATTAATGTTAGGTCTGTTTGATTTGTTCTTATTTTTTGTTTATACAGTATATGCATTTACACTAAAATGATAATATTAAATCGCACGTTAATAATTTCATAATTACATTATTTATCGGCTATGCGACTGAACGTATTGCATTTAAATTTGATAGTTAAGTGTTTAAATAACATATATTAATAATTACCAATTTAAGTTAAAGCTGATGTACCTATCACAAATTATAATACATATCAGTGGCACACATTTACTGATAACAGAAATAAAAATAAGATTAATAAATTAGTTTGTTAAAAACATTACAAGTTATATAATGTTCTAATCACTAACTAAAGCAAAAATCCAGCTTGTAGATAAAAAAAAAATGAAAGGAAAACAAATGTTTTCAATTGCCTTGAGCAACCATCTTTAGGTTAAAATCAGTACATCTCAAAACAATTAATAAAAGGCAAACTACAACAGCATTAGCTGCATATGTCTTGGATGAGGACGTGCAAATGAACGTCAACAATGTAAGACTTATTTACCATATGTGGGAGCCCCCACAACTTAAGTACTTTGAAATTTACAAGACCAGCAGAAACAACAATGCAATTAATTACAAATACAATAACATGTTATGCTTATGCCCAGCTTGGAGGGTGTTATAACATTCCATTTCTTGTTCTGTTTCCAAGTCTGTTATTTTAACCTGAAGATGGTTGCACAAGACAATTGAGAATGTTCGTTTTCCTTTCACTTTTTTGATCTATGAACTGGAGTTTTAGTTTTGTGAGTGATATTTATATTCACTTTTCAGCAAAACTTCATTAGTAATAAACTACAGTACTATTACTCAAACTTTTAAAAATGCGGCATAATTTTTTTTCTATCCTGAGGAATGAGGAAACATTTCTGGTTTAAGATGACCAGAAATGTTTGGAAAACTAAAATTATAGTGCTGCATTTTTAAAGGTTTGAGCGTTAGGCTAGTACTGTGATATTTATACTTTTCATCCTGTATACAGTGTGTTTTTACTTAAAAATTTCACATTTTGACAGTTTCACATCTTTATTTTAACATATAACACAGATGATAGTATTACCTGAAGCTGATTTGTTTATACATTTTGATATGCTTTATCAAAATATTTGAAAAATGTGGATTGAAACAAAAGAATATATTGATTCATTGTGGTTTAAAAAATGAGTGATTAAATTTTGTAAAGAAGCATTGGTATAAGAGTAAGCTTTTGATTAGATGATATCTATCCTGATTTTTTTCTTTCTATTTATTATGGAGGTTATGATAATCCTAATTCTTGATGTGAAGAACATTAGAAGGTCAGGATTGTTGAGCGAGGAATTCGGGATTTTTTTCCCCGGGCCTGAAGAAAAAAATTAGGGATTGTAGTAGTTTCTATACCTATAAATTAATGTTATTTTTAACTAATAAAAAATAGTCTTTAAGACTGCATTTTATTAATATGGAAACATTCTAGGCATTTCATTTATTCAAAATAAAATTATGAAAAACAAGTATGCTTAACCCCAGATTTCATACAAGCTCTTGATGGCCCTGTAGAACAGTGTTTTTTGTATGCTGATCCACAAAAAATTTCACTGGACCATAGAAAAATATTTGACTGGTCCATAGAAAAATATTTGACCATACTGAAGTTGGTGCAGTTGATTATAGTAAATATATATAAGCATATATAAGCTTAATAAACAAGCGTAATTCATAATTGCATATAATTACTTAGTCTAAGTAAAATTATGAATAATTTTACTGGTCTGCAATGAAAAAAGTTGAAAAACTGCTGTAGAAGATAATATAAATCTGCAAGAATTGTGACTCAGTGCTGTTCATTCATCTCTGTCATAAGTCCACTTCCCTTATACTTAAGGGGTAGATTGTTCTTGATAAGCAAGGAGTCACACTGAACAAAGTGATAACAGATTGCAGTAATACATGACTTTGATATTTGCACTTGCTAATATTTCTATAATTTTAATAAATTTTCATGTTTATTAAAAACATGATGATTTTAATATCTTCAGTAAGTTCTCATAAATAGTTATTGCACTAAGACATTGGTAAGATCTAAATAACAATCCTCATTGTAAAGAAAAATTTCTAAAAGAATGTAGGATGAAATGTATTTTAAGACATATTGTAAACAATACAACATAATGAAAACTTACATGAATAAAAATATTCTTGTAGTCTGGTAAACGTTCTGTGACTTCAGATATTTTCCATAAAATTTCCACATTGTAAAGAAAAAACTTTTATCAGATTTACATAAATACAGGTAGGGAAATAGCCAATAAGAATAGGTTGACTTCCGCCAATGTGGATCATGTTTCCTGTGATTGTGAAAAGGATGACAAGAATATATAAGACTACAAGAATATTTTTATAAGTCTTTATTATTTTGTATGGTTTACAATATTTCTTAAAAACAGACCTCATATTCATCCTACTTTTCCTACTCTTTAGTAGGAAATAACTTCTTCTTAACAAATTGTCATAATTGTCCTATTTTTGTCTTTAAAGTGATGATGATACAGGATAATTTTTTTTTTAAATATGTAATGCAGATTCTTAACTCTGCTATTCCTTCCTACATTTGTACATGTAATACATCTTGTGAATCACCAAAAGATAAACTTTAAATTTCTTTAAATTAAACATTTAAATTTTTTCATCTGCAAATTTCAACAATAGATTTCTAGTATTTAATCAAGTTCCAATGAAGATCATAAGGAAAATATTTTTGGTCTAGATTTTTCTAAGCTGCTATAGCAATTTTCCTGTAAATTAAGACAATGTTTAGTAATACTTAATTGGCAATATTAACTCCAGGACCAATATAGTCAGTAAATTTTCTTCTTTTATTTCCACTAAAGTATTTTGGTTTTTTTTTTATAAACTTCTAACTATAATATAAACAGAAAATCTGCTGAGTTTACTATTGTTATTTTAGTATGTCGCAAAGTCCCATTTTTGCATTTACTCTAGTTATACATTCATTTTTAATAGTCTGAACTAGTACTCCATAAAAAAACAATTAAATTTAGGCTTCAATTTAACATTTCTTGATTTTACATTAAACTTCAGTTTTATGGAGTCAGACATCCAGAGGTGATTTCTTTTTAATGTTTACGAGATAGAAGATACAATGTGTGATTTTTGGGTACCAATTTTTCTAATGTTTGCTTCCATTTTTCTAATGACAGATATGACAATTTTAGATTAAAAATTATGAATATGAAAGATTTATCTAGTACACTTCTAAGCCTTCTTTTTATATCTTAATGATTTAATGAAATGCAAGAATAACAGTTTTTATATTTGTTATAAAGCTAATATATACACATTTTTATTCTTAAAACTATTTTATTATTATAGTTACATAAAGAGCACGTTCGTAAAGTCGAACAANAATGCAACTTCAAGTTAATGAAGTTTGACTTAGCAAGGTTTTACTGTAATTATTTCAGCTGTTTTTAAATCTGCCATACTTAGTCTAATTTTCCTCCAAAAAGTTCTATTTTTTAAGCCATAAAACACAATAGAAGCACTGAAATACCATAGTTGTATGAGTTGAAGAATCAAGGATGAAACGCTCCTCCCAAATTTGGTCAAAGCATGAATGAAAAAAATCAGACAGAAAGCAAAAATGTTATCAAATTATCACTGATGGCAAATTAAAAATTGCTACTTATGTTCTTATTTGCATAAAATTTCAGGCAATTTGAAGTTCTGGTTATGTATTTGTTGGAAGGGAAGTTAGTGTATAACTATATTAAAATAGTAAGTAGTAAGTAATATACAGTTGAACTTGGTTATAATGACATTTGAGAGACTGTCTTGTTTATGTTGTTATAATCAGGTAATGTTATACCTGGGTTCCACTGTATCTGACATAAATATGTAAAAATACAGTATGACAACCATATGAGTTAATGCACTTACCCTTTATTACACTATACACATCCATTGCTTTTAATGGTTAAAAAACTCAGTAATTTTGCTTTGAGTCTTTGGCATTTTCCAATACATGTTTAAATTGTTTTGGAGGCAGAACAGAGAAGAAAATGTCTTCTGTTTGGGAAGAAGATTTGAGGAATCAAGTCAATATTTTCAAAGTGTCAATTGCTTCATTTAGAATAGGAACAGGTTTTAAATTTGCAATTTCTTTGCAGTAT